GATCGGTGCCTCTTCCTCCTGATATCAGGGAAGGACGGTACCGACGATGTCGAACTCTCATTGGAGGATTCCGATGAGGACGAGGAGGACTCGGAGGATGAAGTTTCCGCAGCAAGGCTGTATAGCAGACGCGGATAATACAGCTTTTGCATTTGCTGCCTCCAACGTCTCAAATAGCTCTTAGAGAGCTTGAGCGGTTGCAAGTCCTCTTTAGGCGCATGCTCTTTAGCTTCATTGGGGCGAAGATGTCGAGCCCCGTGGGGTGAGACCTTCGGTCCCGAGTGGCTCGGAGACCGGGAATCTCTAAAGATGGCGCCAAATGCTTCGCTTTCACCTTCTTGTTTTTCGGAGAGGATGTTGCAGGGATAATTCCGGAGTAGGAGGAAGCGGGACCGACGACGGCGGTGAAGATGGAGGCGAAGAGCCCTAGGAAAGAAACTCAACAGGAGACTGAGGAGTGAGGACAGGCAAGGACGGGGAAGCCTGTGGTGGCAGGCTAGGAATAGCCGAAGAATGAGGGGTTGGTGGTTATAAAACTAAGGGTTTGGCCTTAGTTTTAGAGGCTTTACTCTTTTCCCTAGGTTATATATGAGGTAAAGGGTCGGGTTCTGCGGACGCAGAGGCCGCTTCGATGCATACACAAAGATTTTTGTGCGACTCTCCAAGGCAATGCAGCTTTTAAAAGTAACCCTGGGAGATGAGGAAGCCTTGGAGGCGTGGGAACAGTCCAAGGGGGGGGAAGGGGGGGAAGGGAGGGGGAAAGAGGGAAAACCCTCGCAAAGGGCCAAAACGCACACCTCCCCTCCTAAATAATAAAGTCTTTGTGCTTTCCTTAATGAAGAATCGAACAGGAGCCAAATATTTTCCAAGAATTTCCAATAATTTCATGGAGCTCTAGCCAGGAGACCTAACTGCAGCAGCGGAAAAAATGGAACTGAGGTAACTGTTAGGACGGGCGGACCATGAGGTCCTGGGGGGCGGAGCCAAATATATGGCTAAAAATAAGAACTAGAAGAGAAGGAGATCATAATCCATGAAACTAATAGCCATTTCAGTTCTCCAAATGCTAGCCTTGAAATAATCCTGAACTTTCTGTTGTGACTTCCACTTGTTCCCTCTGTTTTCCATGTTCAGGGTAGGAATACCACGGAATTTTTAGCATGTATACATTACTGAAACAGCGACATCTACTTAGGTTTGGGCATGTTGTGAGAATGGCTGATGGTCAGATGCCAAAAGATCTCCTGTATGGAGAATTAGCACAGGGAAATTGCCCCAGAGGGAGACCACAGCTGCGATACAAAGATATCTGCAAGTGGATCTGAAAGCCTTAGGAATGGACCTCAACAGATGGGAAACCCTGACATCTGAGTGTTCAGTCTGGAGGCAGGCGGTGCATCACGGCCTCTCCCAATGTGAAGAGACCCTTGTACAGCAGGCTGAGGCAAAGAGGCAGTCACGAAAGCAGCAAAATCAGGGAGCTCGACAGGGGACAGATTGTATTTGTCTTCAGTGTGGAAGGGATTGTCACTTTGGCCTTCTCAGCCACACTAGACACTGTTCCAAGTCCTCTATACCATAGTCTCTCGAGACTGAAGGATGCCTAATCTAAAAATGTAGTAAAGAAGGATATTGCCCCTGCACAAGAAGGAGGTATCAGCAGATATTAGGGATTTCTGGGGTTTTTAGAAGGTCCTCTTCTCTCCCCACAAAAAACTTTTATGGAAAAAATTATGGTATGAGGGAAACTGCTCAGTGAGAATAGACCTTTCTTAGAGGTCACAGCATAGACTGTTTGGGGGTGCAAAAAACAAGGAAGGGGGATGGAATGGCAGTGACTGGCCTGCTGTTGTTCTTACGGATTTCTTCTAGCATGCATAAGATAATGGCTTAATCCTTTTGCTTAGCATAGTAAATTGCAGTGGGGTAGCCCCATTGACCCAACTCTGGGAGGCAGTGGAAGACAGGAGGGCCTGGCATGCTCTGGTCCATGGGGTCATGAAGAGTCGGACAAGACTTAACGACTAAACAACAACAAGCCCGACTGAATCAATAGGAATTTTGTGAGTCAATTCCTCTGTAAGTTCCATTGATTCAAAAGGACCTATTGTAATTTTGACTTACTAGGCTCTTATCCAATGACTCTTAGCAGCAGCAGCAAAAAATATCTTGCAAATGAGGAGCAAAAATTAGCAGTTCCACGTATGAGTTTATATCCATAGCTAGTAATGAGTTATATACCCAGCTATTTAGGATATTCAGCTTTTGACATTCCACTGTAATGCAAGTAGTGTTTGTAACATATTTTGAATGTTAGTATCATTCCAAAACTCAGTTCTAATAAATATTTATGCATGACTAGCAGTCCACAGATTAAACAGCCTTTAAGCAACATGACCTCAAAGCTGCATAGCCACAACACTTTGAAATATCTGTGAAATACCCTTGAAAACAGGCCTAATTCCTTCTTATTTAGAACCATTGTAACATAGCAATATAAGAACTGCAAAATTCTACTTTATATTATGATTTTATTTCAGGAATGAGTAATTTATATTACATTTTAAGATGAAAAATGAAGGTTCCTATAATTAGAACACTGTAGCATGTGCTAGCATTTCACAGACAGTGAGAAGGAAGGTGACACACACATAATGGATATAAAATAACAGAATAATTGGATTATATTAATAATAAATACTTTTACCCTGCATATCTGTATTAGCCGATCATAATCATTATTAATAAAGCCATGTACAATGAAACGTGTTCTCCGGTTTGTTCTGAAATTTGAAACTCTTATTGTTGATGGAGTTATAGCGGATATTTCCTAAATCAATAGAAAAAAAGACATAAATACTCTTGCTTAGCATTTCCACTCTTTAGCAGATAGAAATAAATTAATAATGATAGGCAAGATCCAGGGGTGGGGACTCACGAGTTGCGACTCACTCTCAAGTCCGACTGAAGTCACAATGGCAACTTGACTCGGGGGTTTCTGGGGGGGGAGACTCATGACTCGCGACTTGCACCCAGCTGATAGACCAATGAAGGCAGGCCCTCTGAAACAGGAGGATCACTTTAGCATAAAGGGAGTCTGTGGGCAGGTCCTCCGACCCACCTCTTCCTCTAAGTTCTGTGACCATCAGCTGGCTGGCCCTTGGCTCCTGGAAGGGAAGCTACGCCTGCTTGCTTTGAAGATAGCAACAGGTGGTGGTGGAGGTGGCAGGTAGGCCGATGGTGGCAGCAGCAGAGGTGGAGGCAGGGGGCCAGGCTCATAGGCCTACCCTCTTTGTGCCTGTGCTGACCTATCAGCTGGGTAGCACATATGCAGATCTGAGTTCCAAACCTCAGCGGTGGGGCCAAGGTCTCAGAGACTCAGACTTGTACTTGGACCTGGGACTCGGGTCCTGAAGACTTACCAACATCCCTGGTGAAATGTAGACAAAATTAAAATATTTTAAGAAAAGCAGAATTAATTTATTATTTATCTCAGTTTTCTAAGACAGAACATTTTTAGGCTGTTACCTAGAACTGTAATAATTGTTGTTAAGTGCCATTGAAGTAAGAATTCTGGTTCAATACCTCTGGCCGGTCCAATCTGTGGGTTATCTGTGAGAGGGATAGAAAGTATCACCAAGCACACAAGATTGTTTTTTATGAAATATAGTGTTTGATTTACTGAAAGACAATCTGCAGACTGGAGACGAAAGGGGTGTCCCCCCAAATCAATCCGTCTCAACAGAATACGCATATCTTAAAAGAATAGGCATATCTTTATGGGGATTTTATTCCATAACAAGCAGAGATCACAAGATGAAGTGTCTCAACTTTCTTGAACAGTTTGCATCCAAATTGTTCTGGCACAACCCTGTACTGATGATCAGCCTTGTGAAAAGTTATAACACATTTATGCAAACATCAGAAATATACTAATTACATGATTACATGGATTCAATTGTAAGATACAATAGATGTTTTGGTATTTTTAAACTTAACAAAGAGTTAAGTTTTCTGTTAGCGCTTCTGGTCCTTATCTCACATGATAAAACATCGGTATGTCTGTTACAACTTACGCTTCCTTTCATGGGGACTTTTTCCTCTTATCTTTTCCTTCCCTGTCTCCCTGGCTCCCAGCCAGGAGGGGGAGCAATGTCCTTGTGGTGTTTTCCAGCAGTACTGTATTGTGAAAAACCATTAGGGTGCTTATCTTTGTAAGAAAGGAATGTGCTTTAGGGTGCATTTCTAATGAATCCTTTATACTGGCCCATACGCAGTGAGAGTAACACAAAACACTGAATACACATTGAAAGGAAAGAAGGTAAAACGTAATTTTACATCACCATCCATTCGTCTCCAACCTATGGTGACCCTATGAATGAGTGATTTCCAAAATGTCCTGTCCTTCAACAGCCCTGCTCAGCTCTTGGAAACTCAAGCCAGTAAAATGGTATAATCTGCATTCCTCAAATAACTGATATTTTTCCAACAAATTTTTACTCCTCCTTCTTCTGAATCTAGTCCAGCTTTCAATATGATATGTTCTGCATATACAAATGCACACTTGTCTGACACTTTTGTGTATACAAAACTATTCTGTCTCTCCATATTCTGTCCTAAAAGTAGTTTCTTGTCTACAATACAAGTTACACATGTTCCTTGCCCTCCATGTCCACCTTTTTTTTTGGCAACGGAGCAACAGTCACCTATGGAGAATGTTGATTCTGAAAGATGTGGACAGCATCCGTAGATAAAGAAGGCTCTCCTCTTCAGAATGTCACCATCCATGTGTGGAGGACAACAGACATGACGAAAGTGGCAGGGCTAATCACACACCCACACCCAAACCCAAACCCACACACACACACACACGTTTTACATCTTTATTCCAGTAAGTTATAAAATGTTTGAACAGGATTTCAATGAGACAATATTCATTATTAGAACAGACTCTTACCTGGAAATATTCTGGATTTTCTCTAGTGTACAAATGAAAAGCAGTGTTAACAACATCTGGAGCTTCTGGAAAACCCAGCACTGGCCGCTCTGGGGTTCTACTCCAAGGGGGCCCTTTTTCAAAGCAGCCAAGTCTGCAATAACAAATTTCTGAACCTGTGGCAGATGAGATGAGTGATTAATATTTTTAATTCAGTATCACCTAAATTAGTGTTTCTCTTTTTGCCACTTTTGAGAAAGATAAGGGGACAAGTGTTTCTGCCCTCCTGACTTTGGAAAAGTTGCTTTGTTTGCTTCCCAGTTCCCAGAATCCACCAGCTGTTACTAGTCTGTCTGGGTGACAATTCTGGGAGTTGTCACCCAGAACAGTAACTTTGCCAAACTCCATATTTCTTCATTTCACCCTAGCCATACAACTGCTCTTCCTTTCTCTGTTTGACTTTCCTTCCCTTATACTACATATAGAACTCTACATTTACTGCGCTGTTAAAAATCAGCAATGTGCCACTAGGACGTTGAACAAGTTGTCTGAGTTTTAGGACAGGTGTTGTATAGATTGGAGAGCTGCAAACACGTTGTTTCTCTAACTGAACTCCGTATGCCCTCAGCTGCACAGGCATGTATTTAGCACAATGCTTCCACGAGATCTGCTCCAGCAAATATTATCCTTGTATAATGGATGAGGAGGGATGGAACTTTGCTCTGTAAGTATAACCTTGCTCTTGGCTTGTAGGTGTGGGAAAACACTGATGAGACTAATATGCATAGTAAGCAGCTACCATGGAAATACAACTATGAACAACTTTCATGTCACTCATGGGCTATTTATGTGAAACAGACCAAAGCCATACTTGTAAAAGGTCCAGTTTAGACAACATTGCTGCTATCCTAAATCAGGCAAATAACCACAGAAATTAGTCTACAGGATTTCTAGCTATATCTAAATTAATTTCTTTATAGCTACCATTCATAGGCATTTCTGTAACAAAAGATCAATGAGTGGCTGAAAATATAAACAAGGGAAAAAAATGAAATAAATGTAATTAAAATTTAAAAAATAAAATGGAGCAAATCTGACACAGCTATAAAACCAAATCAAAAAAGAATAGAAGAAAGGACCTTTGCATCACTCAGTTAGTTAGAACAAAAGAAAAAGAATCAGCAGAACTGAAACATTATAATACATCTAAGGTCAGTTATTATTGTCCTAAATCTCATAATCTCACCTTTTACTATTACACACAAAAATAGTGCAGCAAACCAAACACCAAACATCTAGAGGGAAGAGAAATACTCAGATTAGCTACAGCCCTGGTTAAGAATTGGTGTAAATATTCGCATAAATCCAGTTGCTAATCTCATGTGGAACAGACCCACTGAATCAAGGGAATGTAGATAAACACTGATTTACTAAATTAGCACTGAGACCTATGCAATGTGTCTACTGTAGTTAGGACTAACAATTTGATTTAAACCACTATGCTTGTTACTTTCTCTGCAGCACCCTGGCTTCCCTGCCCCGCCTTCTTTGGGTGCTGCCTTTGAGTGGGTGACAACCAAGGTAACTCCAGATGCACCCAATTAACATGTTAATCTTTAATACATCAACCCAGTTCCATAAGCATTCCAAAGGGTACACACAGTTCCCAAGCAAAGTCTGAATACATGCTATCTAAGTAGCCTACTATCTAAAAAGGCTTATCTGGTATTTGGATTTGATTATTTGCACTTTATTTGTTTGTTTGTCTGTTCATATAAAACAAATAAAAATATAAAACAAAAGGCCCCAAAGCGGCTCAAAATATTAAAAATATAGAATTAGAAACATAATAAGTTAAACATTAAACAGCAATCAAACTATACACTAATTACAATACAACTGAACAACTGAAAACAGGTAAACATCAAACACTATCTTAACTTTAAAATGGCATTCAGGAATGCAATCATGATTGTTAAGTGCCTGCCTGAAAAGATGGTCTTTAGCTTTTGGTATAAGGACAAAAGTGAGGGGGCCAGCCTGATCTCCTGATCGAGAGCATTCCATAAACTGGGAGCTGCCACCAGAGAAGGGTCTCATCTGATGATCTTAAATGCCAAGAAGGCTCATTATGAGGAGACACAGTACTTCAGGTAGCCTGAAACCATGCCATTTAGGGACATGTAGAACTACACATGTAGAACTGCATCATCTACTGAAATGTGTAGGACAATTAGGTAAAGGTAAAGGTTCCCCTTGACATTTTCAGTCCAGTCGTGTCCAATTTTAGGGGGCGGCTCTCATCCCGCTTTTCAAGCCATAGAGCCAGCGCCTGTCTGAAGACAGTTTCCATTGTCACGTTGCCAGCGTGACTAGGGAACGCCGTTTTACCTTCGCACTGAGATGGTATCTATTTATCTACTCGCATTTACATGCTTTTGAACTGCTAGGTTGGCGGGAGCTGTGACAAGCGACGGGCGCTCACTCCGTCGTGCGGATTCAATCTTATGACTGTTGGTCTTCTGACCCTGCAGCACAGGCTTCTGCAGTTTAGCCCACAGCGCCACCACGTCCCTCCAAGGACAATTACCATTTATTTATTTATTTAAAATATTTTTATCCTGCCTTTCTCCTTAAAAGGACCCAAGGTGGGATAAATCATTAAAAAAAAACAGCATTTAAAAGCTAAAAACAGTAAGTATGCAAAAAGAATTAATCAGGTACTTTATTAAAATGGTAAATAAAATCAGTATTAAAACACATTTAAAGCAACAGAACAGCACAATCCATTTAAAACCCCTCTCAGACCACCAGTCACTAAGGAAAAGCCTGCCTGAAGAGAAAGGTTTTTGCCTGCTTGTATGCAGGAAAGCTTTATATATCTATATGCTTTATACAAAATGTGGGTGGGTAACCTCAGTGGGGTTACCCCATAGGGTTGCAAGCCTTTCAGCCTTTTTCTGAGATACCTAAAAGGACTTGGAGAAGACAACCTTAAACTTAGAGAAAGAAGCAAATTTGCGTTTTTCTCTGCATGTGATTCAGGAAGAGAAATACAAAGCAATGCTAGCAAGTGGCAAAACCAGCCTAAAAATGAAGATAAATCCCTTTTGTTAATAAGCAGCAAATAAATCCAAGTCCTCTTAAAGGAAAGGTGCATTCAAGAAAACAGTAATGTTAAGTACTTGCTATAGAAGTGTACAGTTCTTTATCTCTACTCAAAAGTAAGTTCCACTGAATTCAAGTGAGGTAGGTACAGATTTACAAACTTACAGTTGCATCCTATGCATGTAGAGATTAAGTCCCCGTCTAATAAGCAACATTGCTATAACACAGATAGACCCACTTTCATATATCCACCACTCTGTTATCTACTCCAGAGGTCCCGAACTTGTGTCTTCAGAAGCTGCTGGATCACAGCTCTTAGAGTCCACAGCCAGCAGTGCCAATGGTCAAGTATTCTGACAGCTGTGGTCAATAACATCTGGGGACCCAAGTCTGAGAACCATCAATCTCTGCATAATGCCAACAGAGAACAAACACATAAAATGAAGGCTCTACTATTCCCAAGCTAGGCACTATTTATAACCTTACCTGTAGTTATTAGTTCTTTGAACTCTTGTTCTCAGGAGTGCATAGTTTGTTGTTTTCAATCATACTTCATTAAGTTGCACACAATTTCTCTGTTGCGATCAAATCATGTTGTCTTGGGATCTGTTTACATGTGCCAGTTGTTATGAAACTCCACCCACATAATTAGTGATGAACATAATGTAATTGCTCTTCATTATTACATTTTGAACCACACGGTGCATTTTTATGAAGCTGCTTTTCCTGCTGATTCCAACAAACCCACATGAATCTCAACTGTTTCCTTCCCAAAAGCTGAACAGGATTTACCAGGAGCCAGGTCAATTAGACTCTAGCTGTTTTTTATGGAAGGTTGTGATGTGTAGAATGAGAACTGAAACTTAGTTGTACAGGATCTGGATCACCAGAATAGGCCAAATCTTGATGAGTGCCCAGAATGCTCTCTCGCTCCTTTCAGACATTCCTTACATTTCTGAGAAAAAGACATGGTTTATGAAATTGACATGCCCTATCCCCTTCTAGCCCTCAGTTTGATTCACATCATGGATGCATGATCTTCTAAATGGTCTCATCTCAACAGTAACATTGCTGGACCCCTCCCATCTGATCCCCCTGCAATCTGAGCAGTGACACTGCTTATTGCTCATTTTAGAAGCTCACAGCAGCATGAGATAAGATGTACTAGACAGCTTGCAATCACCTACTGATTTGTATCTTCAAAGGACAGGTTTGTGCATGCTTTATTGGATGGTGGCCCTCCTGCTGAGATTAGTAAACAATGTGAATTGCAACCACATGAGAATTATTGTGAAGCAGTATCGTCTCAGTGCGAAGCACACCAAACCATCGTAAGAGACATACACACACCCAAAAGCACACTGTAAAAAGCAATGCATCTTCTTTTGCTTTTTTATGGTGCTGAAGATAGTAATTGGGATCTAAGTTACAGTATTGGTGACACCCACTGGAGCAGAAGATGTTCAAAGGGGATTTACAAGGCTAATTCCTAAACAGAAAATGAGCAGAGCATGGAAACCTAAGGACACCAGCATTGTTTTTTTTTTTTTATGGTGGGTGGGGGTTCAAGGCAGTTAGGAAAAGATCAACATTCTCTACTTTTCAGATACATTTTTACATGTGCTTATTTTTAATGCAAAAATAGTAACATAAACTATCACATTCAGTACCGTTGATATGAATTTATTGTGAGCATAATATACTTGAATAAAAGATTTTTTTTAAATCTAAGAACTAATCACACACACTTGGATTATTTTTTAAATCTAAAAATTAATAAGCAATCAAAATAAAAATTGATAGAATACTTAATCAGTCAACCTCATCATACCTGATTGTGCAGATTAGACCCAATATCTAACATTGAGTGAAGGAGGGATTCAAACACCATTTACTCCCCTATTACTCCTTCCCAGATCCATCGAACTAAGCTTTGTGAACACAAATCATGGAGCAGAAATAAGCAGAGGATCTGGCACATTTCTGGCTCTTGTAGGTGAGTAGCTATATGGTTACTAATTGGGAAGGTACCCCTTTTAAAAATTA